TTTTCGAACATTAAGGGTCCATTATTTAAAAAATGATAAAATTATTATGCTGATAATAAATTTGAAAACGTTGATAATAGTATATGATATTCTCCCATTACTTATAGCTTCAAAGATACATTCTATATTTCTATAGAGGAGAGGATTCGTTAAGTTAGCAGAGTAATTACAATTAATTATAGTTTAAAGACTGATTAGGTCATTTAGTTATAATTTAAAAGTTAATTAGACCATTCAATCATTATCCCAAATGTGCTTTTCATGCATCAAATGCTTCGTCAAGGCTGATTTAGTAATTACAAAGACGAATTGTGGGTTGAAAAAAATATCAAAGCAGAATATCAACTCAAAGAAAGCCTAAAGGACGGACCCTAGATTGACTTCGTCATCAACGGCAGTCAAAGTCAACACCTAAGCCCACTCACGCTTCTCCTTTTACCCAAATCCAACGGCTATTACTCCAAACACTACTATCGATTTATGAATCATGATAACAGTTGATGTCTTTGATCAGCAGAATTAATGGTGGCAAGAGAGCCACGTCAGCAAAAGGCGACAAGTGGCGTGTTTGAGGCACAGGAAGAACGTGAGCGTTAATTCTATTTCTGACATGCAAAAAGCCGTCCGGAGAATCCGGACTTAGCGGAGAAAATATTTTTAAAATTTTTTTAACAAAGTCTTTAATTATTAATTGGGTGGACCACTTATCGGGAGAGGAGATACGGACCGTAGGATTTGAACGGCGGGTCTCCGTTCCCTGACCAACGGGCAGGGGTTGTTCCCCCGATTTGTCACAAAGAAACGATAATGTAGTTCCGATATTGCCCTCAAAATTTGAATGAAGTCACGGTTATACCATTACATTCACATCCCGTTCTTTTATCCTATAGTCAAATAATAACAATAATAATAATAATAATAATAATAACAACACGTTTTTCACGCTTATTTGACTTGAGAAAAAAAATTGCATAGAGGATAAAATGAAAGAATACCCCCTTCCCAATCATCAAAATTAGTTATCCATTAACATTATATTGTAGTTATTAAAAATGGTACATATGATGTGATACCCTAAGTATCATAAATTTGTTTGTTTTTTTTTTTTTTTTTTTGGATCAAAGATGTTTGAATTAATTAGTGCGTATTTCAATTAATTTTCTAAGACTTTGAAATTATAGATCGAATAAGAGTTTTAGTGGTCACTCATATTAGTATATTTTTTTTATGATTAGAGGTGTTCAGACTAACTTGTTTGCATTTTAGATAATCCTCGAACCTTGAAACTAACGGTTGGATAAGAGTTAAACATATAGTATAACTAATATATGTGATAAACAGTAATTAATTATTGATTCAAAATCACTATTTTTACCCATAACGTTTTATGTATTTTAAATACAATTTTTTAAAAAGTTTTTTCTATTATTATTTTTATTATCTTGTTTGAATATTGAGATTAGGACTTTCACCTTTTTTTTAAACTATGTTTTGAGACAATTTTTTAATCAATTGTATTAACATTTAGGCCGTTGAGATTGTATTTAGATTATATTGCATGTCAATTATTTAAAAAATTAACAATTAAATTTATTTCCATTTGGATGAGGGGGGATATGAATGTGAAGTAGTATGGCGAAGCAAGATAAAAGTAGAAGAAACAATAACGGAGTTGACAGGTGAGATTGCATTACATTAATCCCATATGATATCCACAATTTTTAATAACAAGACAAGGATTGTCTCTTTAAAGCGGCTGTGATAAATGATAATAATGGCCAGGATTTTGCACCACCAAAGGACTTAAATCATTATTATCCTTTATTCACCAATAAAGAAGTTATAAATTAATTTAACATAAATTGCATTTATTTCTCTGACTCTTGTGTAATCTAGCTGAAATTACTTAGTAGAGTTTGAGTTTAATGTTTGATATATGTAATTTGATTCTTTATATCAAAAGATTAAATACAACAAACTTTAATTAAATTATAAAATTGAAATACAAAGTATGAATCCCATATTTATATTTTAACTTGTGCAACCACTGATTTGTTAGATCCTATAATTAAATAATTATAAGATACATAAATTAATTTGTGAAAAAAACTGGTAGGGCATCTCCAACCTAACGCTATTTTGGTATAAAAACACTAAAATGATGTGAAAAATGCCTCCAACCCAATGCTAAATATTGCACCAATTTGGTGTCAATGTACAGTGCCACGCCAAATTTGGTGTAGCACTGTTCATGCACATCAATTTGGCGTGGCACTGTTCAAATAGTATAAAAAATATTTTTTTATTATTTAAATTTTGTTATTTGTATTTAAGTTAATTTGATTATTATTTATAATAACAAAATCATAATAATTATATAATTCAAAAAATGATGAAAAATTAAAAATAAAACTTTATTTAATGCAAATATTAAACTACAATATCTCAAAATAAAAATTAACACTAAAATTAAAAGAAAATACAACATAAACTAAAATAACAATTTAGTATTTTGATAGATTAGTTCTGGATCCTCTAAGATCATCAAAATATTGGAAAAAATTAGAGTTATTTTGAGATCTTTGACCTTATTGTTGTTTTGAGATCTTTGACCTTATTGTTGGGCTCTTTTTTGTATAATTCTTGATTGGTCATTTTGAAAAAACCCACGTAGGCTTGGGTCGGTGATGGAATTCAAATCATTGAATAAAATTTTGTTATCATTTTATATTAGATGTAATGTATTTCTATATTAAATGTAATGTTTATTTGATTAAATAAATGCTTAATTTTATTAAATTAGTATAATTTTTAAAGTAATTATTATTTAATAAAAATATAATTCTTAATATTTAATTAATATATACAAAAATAATGAATGAACTAGATTAATTGTTTATTATTACAATAAAAGAAAAAAAAGAAAATATTATAAGGAATATTCTTTTTAGTGTAATATTTGGTGTAATGGATNATAGTATAACTAATATATGTGATAAACAGATATTAATGATTGATTCAAAATCACTATTTTTACCCATAATGTTTTATGTATTTTAAATTCAATTTTTTAAAAAGTTTTTTCTATTATTATTTTTATTATCTTGTTTGAATATTGATATTAGGACTTTCACCTTTTTTTAAACTATGTTTTGAGACAATTTTTTAATCATTTGTATTAACATTTAGGCCGTTGAGATTGTATTTAGATTATATTGCATGTCAATTATTTAAAAAATTAACAATTAAATTTATTTCCATTTGGATGAGGCGGATATGAATGTGAAGTAGTATGGCGAAGCAAGATAAAAGTAGAAGAAACAATAACGGAGTTGACAGGTGAGATTGCATTACATTAATCCCATATGATATCCACAATTTTTAATAACAAGACAAGGATTGTCTCTTTAAAGCGGCTGTGATAAATGATAATAATGGCCAGGATTTTGCACCACCAAAGGACTTAAATCATTATTATCCTTTATTCACCAATAAAGAAGTTATAAATTAATTTAACATAAATTGCATTTATTTCTCTGATTCTTGTGTAATCTAAGCTGAAATTACTTAGTAGAGTTTGAGTCTAATGTTTGATATATGTAATTTGATTCTTTATATCAAAAGATTAAATACAACAAACTTTAAATAAATTATAAAATTGAAATACAAAGTATGAATCCCATATTTATATTTTAACTTGTGCAACCACTTATTTGTTAGATCCTATAATTAAATGATTATAAGATAAATAAATTAACTTGTGAAAACAACTGTTAGGGCATCTCTAACCCAACGTTATTTTAGTATAAAAACACCAAAATGACGTGAAAAATGCCTCCAATCCAATGCCAAATATTGCACCAATTTGGTGTCATTATACAGTACCACGCTAAATTTGGTGTAGCATTGTTTATGCACACCAATTTGGTGTGGTACTGTTCAAACAGTATAAAAAATAATTTTTTTTTGTTATTTGTATTTAAGTTAATTTGATTATTATTTATAATAATAAAATCATAATAATTATATAATTCAAAAAATGATGAAAAATTAATAATAAAACTTTATTCAATACAAATATTAAACTATAATATCTCAAAATAAAAATTAAAACTAATTTAAAAACACTAAAATTAAAAGAAAATACAACATAAACTAAAATAATAATTTAGTATTTTGGTAGATTAGTTCCGGATCCTCTAAAATCATCAACAAATTAGAAAAACTAGAGTTATTTTGAGATCACTAACCTTGTTGTTGAACTCTTTTTTTGTATAATTCTTGATTGTTCATTTTGAAAAAACTCACATAGGCTTGGATCGGTTATGGAATTCAAATCCTTAAATAAAATTTTGTTATCATTTTATATTAGACGTAATATTTTTTTATATTAAATGTAATGCTTATTTGATTAAATAAATGCTTAATTTTATTAAATTAGTATAATTTTAAAGTAATTATTATTTAATAAAAATATTATTCATAATATTTAATTAATATATACAAAAACAATGAATGAAATAGATTAATTGTTGATTATTACAATAAAAGGAAAAAAAAATATTATAAGGAATATTGTTTTTGGTGTAATATTTGATGCAATGGGTTGAAGATGCAATAGTGTTTTACACTAAAAATCATACCAATTTGATACAATGGGTTGAAGATGGCCTTATATGAATTGAAATATGAAGTTGGTATTTAAATTTTTTATAATAATGTTAGATATAAAATTTTTGTGTACCATATAATGTGATATAACTTTTTTTTTAATATATAGTAATCTAAAGTACTATTGAATTATTTAGCTTCATTTATTGAGTATATGTTGAATTGACTTCTCTTATCCAATTTTTTCGTTTAATTCAGTTAATATGTGAAGATATTCTTTCAGAAAATATTTAAAAAAAATAAAAACAAACTTTGGCTTCTACAAACGGGGCGTAACACCAAATAACTAAGACTGCGACGTACAGAATCTCCGCAGTGAAAAAAGAACGATGGCGCTATCTGTAAGTAGACCTGGCAAACGGGCGGGTGTACCCGCGGGTCAACGGGTACCCGTACCCAACGGGCGGGTACGGGTAATACATATCTCGACCCGTAAAAAATTAACCCGTACCCGGCCCGCCCGTGACTTTTACGGGTGGACCGGGTACTACCCGCGGGTACCCGCTGACCCGCAAATTCAAAATTTAAAAAAAAAAAAACTGCTGAATCAGAATGACTTGTCTCGTCCTCTCACTGTGACACTGTCTCACATTTCACTCAACTCAAACCCTAATCTAAAGTAAAATAGCAAAACTTATTAGAGAAAAGAAAAAAAACGCAGCCATTCTCTTCCACAGCAGCTCCACAACCTCCACTGCTCCAGTCCTCTCACAGCAGCTCCACTCCCTCACTCGCTCGACTCTCAACAGCAGCTCCAGGACATGGATTTCTGGATATGAAGTTAAAGGTAACATTTTAACTTATATTTCACAGTTTTAATATTTTGTTTGTTATATATTACGATAGTTAACTTATATCTTGTTAATTGTAGAAGATGAAATTGATGATGCTCCTGGTTGTGCCATTAAGTCAAGGGCGGGAAGGAGATTGCATAATCAAGGGAGGCTTTTTTGTTTGTGTGTTTGGTACTTTGGTTTAAACAATTATATACGTTTAATTATTTAGTGTTTACTATTTTATGTATTTGAGTTAAACAATTTTATATGTTTAGTGTTTACTAATTGTAATTACTATGTTTTTAGTGTTTATTAATTCTATTATCTATATGGTGACTTTGATATAATATGAAAAATATTAATATTGAATTAATAATAAGTTATAACTAATAAGTTTAATAGGAAAACAGTAAAATATGAAAATGTAAAAAGCTGCTTCCATTTTCACGGGTGACCCGTGGGTGACCCGCGTCCGCACGGGCGGGTACGGATCATGAAAATGTCGACCCGTGAGAATTTTTCACCCGTTAACCCGTGACCCGTTCCACCAGTGACCCTTGCTACCCGGACCATACCCGCCCAACCCGCCGTTGCCAGGTCTATCTGTAAGTACTGGAAAAGACAAGGGTAATTTAGGAATTAAAAGTTTTAATGAATATGTTTTTTCATTTGTGTTTAGGCGTTCACGTTCTCGCGGCTTTTACAGGACAAATACCGAACAACACAGAACATTGTTGCTTCGTTTGGGAGAGATTAGTTGCAGAGCCGTCTCGGTGTTCATTCCGTTAAGTTTTCGCCATTCTACTTGTACCTCTGCAACAACTTCTCCCATTTCACCTGAAAACCAAGAAGCGCTTCAATTTCGAACAGAAACCTGCCTTTTACGACGTCGCTGCAGTTGCACATTTCTTGTATGATAAATGCAATAGAGACGCCGATACGATAACGGTTATTCATTTCTCGTTATTGTGTGCGGTCCTGGGCTTTGACCTTTCAATTAGTTTTCTGTGCATTTGCGTCGGTTGTTGGTGACTAAGGCAGGGCTCATCGGCGCAGCCTTGGATCTAAATCTTATCTGATTTTGGCCAATAATGGTAGCTTTTTTAATCTTGTTGTTTTTTCAAGTTAATAATGGAACCTTATATTTGTTTTGTCTGTTGATGTTTTTTTTTTTTATCAGTTTTTGTGTTTAATGGCAGATAATTTTGGTGATTAGCTATATATAATGGTGATATAAATATGAATAATTTTTCGTTGAGTTTATAAAATTGAGATAATATTTTTGATTTCTTTGAGCTGCTTTTGTGTAGTTAAGTATTACATGGAGAGTCTAGGTTTGGTATAAACGATATTTAGTGGTTAGGTAGTTAATTGTTGGTACTTTGGCTTTGAAGTGGGTGCTTCACTTTTTATGTTGAAATGAATAAGTGTTTCTAGTTGCATTTTTAACGGAATTTTATCTGGTTGGAATGTGACCCCCTCTCGCTCTTGTTCATTGTCTAATGAATCCTTCCTATCATCCTCCCTGGGAATCATATACTCGTTGGATGAATTGTGGGGAGCTCATGTAAGACATGCATTTGTGCATCTTGCATATTTATAATGAGGAAAACCTTGTGGCCATAGCTTCGTCATGCATTTGCAATGTTTTTCACACAATGCTTGGTGTTCACGGACACTGTATGCCCCCTTTTTTGGGTTTCTTTGGAGAGTTTATTTTTTTTGAATGTATGTTATGAAATTAAGTGGAATGGAACAGTGGCATTGTTGTTGTTGCCTGCATGATGACTGCCTTTGGAGTATGTTGTAAACTTGGCGAAATTAAATCCATTCTAATTTATTGGTGGGAGTAGCACTGAAGAAAACCAACTATAAATTGATGTCAACTAAATCTATTGGTGTAGAATAATTTTAGCATTGAAAATGCTGATATATGAGAAGCTGATTTCCTTTGTATAAGGAGGTAAAAATATGTTGGAAAGGTTTATGAATATTGTTGTGAGAGGAGTAAAAGGCCAATTTCAGATCCTTTTCTATAATTTCTAATCTGATATTTGTCTTTTCAAAAAGCGAAAGCATTTACCAAATTTGTGGTGATAATCACCCTTGAACTGGATGGCATTATCCATGTTTTATGATGTGTTGAAGGACAAAAATGCAGACTCATATTTTATGTTTTATGCTATTGAATTGTATTCAATTGATATTCTAGGCCAAATTATTGCTTCTAGATTGAAATGTCTTTTTGCATGGCTTCTACTTGTCTCTGATGTCTATCTTATAGATGAAGATTAGACTACTTTCTCAAGCTGATGTACTCACGATTACTTTGCCACTCAGGCTGGTCAAGTCGATTTGGCTGTTGGGTCTCTTGTTTGGACTGAGGATCCGGAGGTAACTTGGATAGATGGGGAGGTAGAAGAAGATAACAATGAAGAGTTCAAAATATACTGTACATCAGGGAAGACAGTAAGTGCCGCTTCTCAGTAGTGTTTATGCATCTTTTCCATTATAGAAAGAAGGAACTTTTCCTTATCTTTGAAAGTTTGTTTCTGTAAGCATTGTATATAAACATTGATACACATATATATAATTACACAGTAATCTGTTTAATGCCTTTTTCACAATTTATTATTGGATAATGGGTATGTGGACATTAAATTCTTTATTTCTTGTATGAAGGTATTATTGGAGTTGAAGAATAGTTAATGTGGCCGAATACTTCATTGAAACTAATTAATTTGGAACAAAATAAAGTATTAGTTGTCAAGAAGCCTGGCTGAGATATTGCAATGGACTTTATTTGCAATGTGAATGTCATATATGATGAATAACATGTTTTACTAAGTCAGTCACTACATGGAATCCTATAATGACGTGTATTGCTAAGTCAATCACTACATGTAATTCTATAACATGTGATGATGGTTCAAGTAAGTAGATTCTGCATTTGGAGATCAAGGAACGTGGACATGCACCATGTACACAAGATTTTCATTGTCATGCATGTAGAGAAGACTTCTGTGGCCATGGGATGTTTATATTAGAAGTACTGGTTGGGGGAGATTTGCTTCCAGAATATGTCAATTAATGCATCTTTCAACATGTGTTTTAAAGTAAACGGGTGTTATCCTTTTACATTCTATTTGCAAATGAAATTGCTTCAGATCAGTGTTGCTTTTTAGTGAGGAGTGTGCCTGGATACAGTACAGTCAAATGACTGGTTTTGTGTTTTTATTGGTGTATTGTGGGATTTTGGTGTTGATATTGTCAGCTAGAAACAAAAATGAGAACCCTTGGATGACACTATTTTTAGGTTAAATGAAAATAATCTAATATTTGATAGGAAAATTTGAGCAAAATTTGAGAATATTATTGTGTAATGAAAGAGGCTTTTGTCTTTTCTTTTGGGAGGCTATTCCAACAACAACTACCACTTGCCGTTGCCCCTTTTATTTTGTGTGTGCAAGTATCTTAATTGGTGAAGCATTTTGCATTAGAATCTTGGGACTGCTTCATCTAACAGTACCATTTTTGTTTTTTATGTAGATATTTAATGTATTGATGTACCTATCTCATTATTATTGCTATTATTTTTTAAAATATAGTTTAATAGTTCTTATAAGGAAAAAGGTAGCTATGCTCGTAAAAGTTAATCTTGTGCCTGAATGTTATTTTACACTTCATGATGACTCTTTATGAAATCTGGTACTATGCTTCATTTTTTATTTAATTACAAGAAATTAGTGGTTTTGTTGAAGTGTTCCTGATATATGTACTATGCATGTTCTAGGTTGTTGCCAAAGCCTCCAATGTCTATCCAAAGGATGCTGAGTTTCCTCCAAGTGGTGTTGATGATATGACAAAGCTGGCTTATCTTCATGAACCAGGGGTTCTATACAATTTAAAGTGTCGATATGATATAAATGAAATATATGTAAGTATTAAACAGTTAATTTGTATCCAAACATTTCCTTCTGGCCTTGTTGTTTGGTAAGTACATTTTAACTGTGCGGGTCTTATTAGATGCTTCATATCCTTGTTACTATTTCATGCAGTTGTATTCTTTTTCTTTTGGTTCTGGGGTTTGGACAGTGCTCACTACTATATATGCTTAATATTTTGGTGTTCATTTCTTACTTTAGTTTTCCTTTTTTCGCTGGTTCAACTTTATATGAATCTAAACTAACCAATGGTGATTCCAGACTTATACAGGAAATATATTGATTGCTGTGAATCCTTTTCAAAGACTTCCTCATTTGTATGATAATCATATGATGGAACAATATAAAGGGGCAGCTTTGGGTGAGCTGAGCCCTCATCCTTTTGCTCTTGCAGATTCTGCTTACCGGTAATATATCTTAAGCCTTAATCTGTCCTAATTATTTGTGATTTAGGATTTTAATGCGCCTGGCATTATAAAAATTCGTTATTACAGACTGATGGTTAATGAGGGAATAAGCCAGTCAATTTTGGTTAGTGGGGAAAGTGGAGCTGGTAAAACAGAAAGTACAAAGATGCTTATGCAGTATCTTGCCCATATGGGAGGAAGAACTACAACTGAGAAGAAGCGGTCTGTGGAGCAGCAGGTCCTAGAGGTAGCAAATTTAATCTTATTATGTGTCCAACTTGGTGGTTTGTGACTAAGATGGTATATTGCATTAATTCCACCCATTTTTTTTTTTTTTTTTTCCTGGTGTGGCAGTCCAATCCTGTCCTGGAAGCATTTGGTAATGCAAAGACTGTGAGAAACAATAATTCTAGGTGAGAAAACTTATGGTTCTAGAATTGTTGTTGTATTGTCTGTTTATGGCAAATTGTGTTGGAATTGTTTGTAATGTCATTGCAGTCGTTTTGGTAAGTTCGTGGAGATTCAATTTGATCAAAGGGGGAGGATTTCAGGAGCTGCCATTAGAACTTATTTACTGGAACGTTCCCGTGTCTGTCAAGTGTCTGATCCTGAGCGAAATTATCATTGCTTTTACATGCTTTGTGCAGCACCGACAAAGGTAAAGCATGTCTTGTTTATGGTATTTGTTGGTTGAGTGATGATTAATTGAGTATGAGGTTATAATGCTTCATAGACATATAATCACTACTTCTTCTTCAAATACAAGTTTTGATGTGACTTTTATCTTATTTATTCTTCTTTTTTTAATGTGTTCGGAATAATATAGTATAATGTATGTCTTGTTTATGATATTTTTCGGGTGGGTGGTGATAAATTGAATAGTATGCTATAAGGCTTCTTAGTCAGATAATTATTATTTACATACAAAGTTTTGATGTTACTTCATCTTATTCTTCTTCTTTCTCTAATCCTTTTGGAACAATTACTATAAATATGGGTGTTGCTTCCGAAGTAATTTTCAAAGGATTTATTTTTTCCATATTCAAAGGGATTGAATTGTTGTCGGGTCTATTGAATCGAGAAATTAGTTTGATTGTCCATCTTTTTGATAATTTTTGTGACCTTTTTTAGTCTTGTTGGGGGAGTTTTTTGTAGTCTAACAAAGAATTATAACATTTGTTTCTAGCGCCAATGTTATAGTCCCAAAAGTATTCTTGCTTTTGTGGAGCCAAAGCTTACACCAAAATATTGATTTACGTTTTATCAGAGGTTTTCGTTGTTGGTGTTTAAAGATTGGAGAAGGTGATGCTTTTATTATCAAATTAAAAGAATCTTCCTTCTTTTGCCAAAATATATACAGTATTTCAAGGGGATCAATGCTATATACATGAAGAAGTATCCCAAAATTCCCATACCAAATGATCCAATATGTGGCATTGACGTGCAAGTGATGAGCTAATGAGGCAAGTGATGAGCTAATTAGATAAGTGACACAGTAGTGCCTCATAGGATGATACATCGCTTGGAATAAGAATTTTGGGATACAACTTGGGATACGTAATATTACTCTTTTAAGGATGCTACACATAGTTTGTTATGGAATTTTCATGTTCTAACAAGTCTATTAATTGTTTTACTTTTTATGGTTTTTCGGTAAGTAACCAAACCACAATAGTTTTACTGCTTATTGTAATATCAAGAATGCAAAGACATGCCATGCATAGCNGTATCTTGCCCATATGGGAGGAAGAACTACAACTGAGAAGAAGCGGTCTGTGGAGCAGCAGGTCCTAGAGGTAGCAAATTTAATCTTATTATGTGTCCAACTTGGTGGTTTGTGACTAAGATGGTATATTGCATTAATTCCACTTTTTTTTTTTTTTTTCCTGGTGTGGTAGTCCAATCCTGTCCTGGAAGCATTTGGTAATGCAAAGACTGTGAGAAACAATAATTCTAGGTGAGAAAACTTATGGTTCTAGAATTGTTGTTGTATTGTCTGTTTATGGCAAATTGTGTTGGAATTGTTTGTAATGTCATTGCAGTCGTTTTGGTAAGTTCGTGGAGATTCAATTTGATCAAAGGGGGAGGATTTCAGGAGCTGCCATTAGAACTTATTTACTGGAACGTTCCCGTGTCTGTCAAGTGTCTGATCCTGAGCGAAATTATCATTGCTTTTACATGCTTTGTGCAGCACCGACAAAGGTAAAGCATGTCTTGTTTATGGTATTTGTTGGTTGAGTGATGATTAATTGAGTATGAGGTTATAATGCTTCATAGACATATAATCACTACTTCTTCTTCAAATACAAGTTTTGATGTGACTTTTATCTTATTTATTCTTCTTTTTTTAATGTGTTCGGAATAATATAGTATCATGTATGTCTTGTTTATGATATTTGTCAGGTGGGTGGTGATAAATTGAATAGTATGCTATAAGGCTTCTTAGTCATATAATTATTCTTTACATACAAAGTTTTGATGTTACTTCATCTTATTCTTCTTCTTTCTCTAATCCTTTTGGAACAATTACTATAAATATGGGTGTTGCTTGCGAAGTAATTTCAAAGGATTTATTTTTTCCATATTCAAAGGGATTGAATTGTTGTCGGGTCTATTGAATCGAGAAATTAGTTTGATTGTCCATCTTTTTGATAATTTTTGTGACCTTTTTTAGTCTTGTTGGGGGAGTTTTTTGTAGTCTAACAAAGAATTATAACATTTGTTTCTAGCGCCAATGTTATAGTCCCAAAAGTACTTTTGCTTTTGTGGAGCCAAAGCTTACACCAAAATATTGATTTACGTTTTATCAGAGGTTTTCGTTGTTGGTGTTTAAAGATTGGAGAAGGTGATGCTTTTATTATCAAATTAAAAGAATCTTCCTTCTTTTGCCAAAATATATACAGTATTTCAAGGGGATCAATGCTATATAAATGAAGAAGTATCCCAAAATTCCCATACCAAATGATCCAATATGTGGCATTGACGTGCAAGTGATGAGCTAATGAGGCAAGTGATGAGCTAATTAGATAAGTGACACAGTAGTGCCTCATAGGATGATACATCGCTTGGAATAAGAATTTTGGGATACAACTTGGGATAAGTAATATTACTCTTTTAAGGATGCTACACATATTTTGTTATGGAATTTTCATGTTCTAACAAGTCTATTAATTGTTTTACTTTTTATGGTATTTCGGTAAGTAACCAAACCACAATAGTTTTACTGCTTATTGTAATATCAAGAATGCAAAGACATGCCATGCATAGCTGTGTCCTCGTATCTAGATTTCCATGAGTCATCATGTCCAACATCCTGTGTTTGTGGTGTAGGTTGTAGATTTAAGTCCTTCGTTGTTGTGTGCATCGAGTCCACTCAATTTAATATGTCTAAATGAATAAAGGCTCTACCATGATTGACATGGTAATAATAAGCCACAAATTATCACGTTAAACTTAGATTTTTGACATCAAAGTAGTTGTCTAATTTAATTTCATTGGTTAGTGTAATACCCTTACCCATGTTTTTATTATGTCCTCTATCAGGACATTAAGAAGTACAAATTGGGAAATCCAAGGACCTTTCATTATCTAAATCAATCAAATTGCTATGAATTGGATGGAGTGGATGATTCTAAGGAGTACGTTGCGACTAGAAGAGCTATGGATGTCGTTGGGATCGGTTCTGGTGACCAGGTAATTTGTCTAGAATTTTTTTTGCAATGAATTAATCTTATATAAAACTCAACTAAGGAGTTTCCTTTCTTAGGATGCAATATTCCGGGTTGTTGCTGCAATACTCCATTTGGGTAACGTTGAGTTTGCTAAGGGAGAGGAACCAGATTCTTCAGAACCTAAGGATGATAAATCTCGGTTTCATCTCAAAACAGTGGCGGAACTTCTCATGTAGTTTATTATACTATGAACTTTTACTAATATTCACATAACTGTTTTAATTCTAAAATCATGGAAGGCAAATCCTTCATCTGCTACTCTGTTCAGGTGTGATGAGAAGTCTCTTGAAGACTCCTTATGTAAACGTGTCATTATGACCCGGGATGAAAGCATAAAAAAATGTCTTGATCCAAACTCTGCAGCTGTCAATAGAGATGCTTTAGCTAAAATTGTTTATTCGAGATTATTTGATTGGTAGGTTAAAGTATATTTTATAAGTTCATTTTATAAAAGAAACAATTTGTAATAACCTTTCGTTCATCTATCCAGTTTTCCAGTGTTTTTGATGTCTTATAGACTTGTTGAACCAGGCTTGTGAACAAAATAAATTATTCTATCGGTCAAGATCCGAATTCAAAAACCCTAATCGGAGTTCTGGATATTTATGGATTCGAGAGTTTCAAGACAAACAGGTGCTTAACCGGTACGCTTTTGCTTTCATCATTTTAGATTTCTTATGGTGAATTGCATAAATCCCTATGTTTTCTGAGATAATAATGTTTAATTAAGGAAATGGAAACATTAGTGGCAGTGTCGCCACATGTAGATTGATATGAGGATTCATCATATTTTATATCCTGTCAAAGGTCCTAATGATGCATTCTAGCATTCAACTCTTAGAATCATTTTCTACTTGGGGAAATATTTGCATGGTAGCTCTTTCCTTACTTCTTCGGCTAGCTTGTTGCTTTTGCTTCAATAATGGCCAATGTTGTGGATATTTGAATTCTTAACACATTTACATGTCAATCTACGATTATGTGCATCTGTCCTTTTTATTTGAATTGCTTTTTGGACTTTCATATTCAGCATATTTTGATGATCACATTCATTTTTTGATGTTGACTACTCGTCTGCAGCTTTGAGCAATTTTGTATCAATTTGACAAATGAGAAGCTGCAGCAACACTTTAACCAGGTTAACCATAGGATTTAGCTACATTCATTTCGTGTTTTTCGTAGTTATTGTAACTTATAAACTAATTCTACTTTAACCTTAGTACTCTTTTTACAGCATGTTTTCAAGATGGAGCAAGAAGAATATACTAGGGAAGAAATTGACTGGAGCTATATAGATTTTATTGATAATCAGGATGTTCTTGATCTTCTTGAAAAGGTGATTCAGTCTCCTGATGCTTAATGTTTTATATTGGATTGCACCTTATATTACAATGCCGGAATTAACTGATATTTTTTGCAAATTGATGTTCTTAAGGCTGTTTTGATTGTTATATGAGCATTTTTTCTGGGACATGCAAACTCTTCATTACATCAAGACCACTGTGTACTTAAAGAGCACAAGCACACAGACCTCTGAGTATCAATTGGAACAATTAAAACCACATACTTAATGAGTAGACTTGTAGACATTGAATCTGGGTAAATGTTTCACCTTAGCAGAGAGGGATCTAGTGCACAATAACTGTTTGTTTCTGGGACATTAATGATCTACCATTTATTAAATTTTCTCATTTATATTTTATTGGTAAAGGAAAACTCTAGGTACAACAATTTACTGGTGGAAGAATTGTTATTTTGTTTTCTAAATGTTTGCTGATTTGTTCTGGTACAATGGAAATTTACATGAGATAAAATGATTTTGTACACCAATGTTTGTTGACATAGTCATAACAGATGAATTTATGTTTTTCATTTAAATATATACAGTACTTTCATAGTTTTGATATATCAAGTGTTTTTTCTGCAATCCTACTTTACCCTTCCAGTTTATTTTGAATTTCTTCAATGTTTGTTTCTTAGATTAGTTTTTCTCCATTGCTGTAAAGAAGTGCTCCAAATGGTGAATGTAAAAAAATTTTTATGCTTCATTTGTGTTTCATATTTCTGATCTGTACCTTTTGTTTCCAGAAACCTGGTGGCATCATTGCTCTTCTAGATGAAGCGTGGTATGTATTGAAACAAAATGTGGTTGCCACTTTTCCTCTTTACTTCATTTTTTTTCCGACATGGCTTATTTGTAACTATTTGTAGTATGTTTCCTCGATCAACATATGAGACTTTTGCTGAGAAACTATATCAGACTTTCAAAGAACATAAGCGTTTCAACAAGCCAAAGTTGGCACGTACTGACTTCACCATTTCTCACTATGCTGGTGATGTAAGCAACTATGTTGTTTTGGCTGCAGAGTACTATGCCAAATTTAGTCAAATACGTATAAAAAGAAAGTAGTGATTTCAGGTCACTCATTAGTTGGGATATTTGATTTCAGGTCACATACCAGACGGAGTTCTTTCTGGACAAGAACAAAGATTATGTTGTTGCTGAGCATCAAGCTCTTCTGAGTGCTTCAGGATGCCCCTTTGTTTCAGCGTTATTCCCAACTTTACCTGAGGAATCCTCCAAATCGTCAAAGTTCTCATCCATAGGTTCTCGCTTTAAGGTTTGCCTTAATATGCATCATTTACTAATATTTTCTTTGAAGTTTTTGGTGGTAATTCTTATCAAATACTTAAATACAGCAACAATTGCAAGCATTGCTTGAAACACTGAGTGCCACTGAACCGCATTACATACGGTGTGTTAAGCCGAATAATGTTCTCAAGCCAGGAATCTTTGACAATTCTAATGTTCTACATCAACTACGTTGTGGGGTAAGTTTTGCCATTTTTGCAGTAATGGTGTTGCTGTTGCTAATTAGTGTCTTGTGCAACATTTTCAAACTCAATGAATTTCATTTTTCCAGGGTGTTATGGAGGCAATTAGGATCAGTTGTGCTGGATATCCCACTAGAAAGCCATTTCATGAGTTTTTAACTCGTTTTCGCATCTTGGCACCAAATGTCTTGGATGTCAGGTAACTTCAAAGTTTACTTTAATTTTCTTTGGTGTTTGGCATTTGTTGGATCTTGAAAAGTTGTGCCCTGGCTGTTTCACTAATATTCTTTGACTGCTATTTGTTCATTGACAGCCATGATGAGGTCATTGCTTGCAAGAGGCTTCTAGAGAAGGTGAACCTCAAAGGTTATCAGGTACATTTTATGACTCTTACACTTTTTTTTACAGTAATTTTTTATGCTGTTGTTCTTGCTGTCATTAATACCTGTGGGCTAGTATGTGTAGAACCAGTTCTTAAAAATTTTTCCTTCTGCATAAGTTGCATGTGCACTTCTGGTAGAAATGTGTCATTCCATTGTTGTATTGGTTTTAGGTTCTAGTTGCATCACAATATCGTCATTTACACCAAAAACAACTGGTGTTCAATGTATATGCCATCTGGTAGCTAATATTTACGCAAGCACTCTTATTGATCCAACTATATTGCAGATTGGAAAAACAAAAGTGTTTCTGAGAGCAGGTCAGATGGCAGAACTAGATGCTCGACGAAAAGAGGTACTAGGAAGATCAGCAAGCATCATCCAGAGGAAAGTTCGTTCATATTTGTGTCGTAAACGCTTCATCTTGTTGCGGTTGTCTGCAGTACAAATCCAAACCTTCTGCAGAGGTAATGATAGCACTTGTGCATCTCGTTGCATCTCGTTGAATTAATTGTTTTGTAGTTCACAAAATTAATTGATTGAAAATTTATTGCTTTCAGTTATATGCATATTTTACTGTTGTTTATCCTCTGAGCTGATTGTAGGACAAAATGCACTGCATCAGTTTGAGAGAATGAGAAGAGAATCTGCTAGTGTAAAAATCCAGAAATATTCACGCAGGTATCTTGCAGAGAAAGCTTACAATAAGTTGTGTTCTTCAGCCGTTTCTATTCAAGCAGGCATGCGCGGGATGGCTGCTCGTAATGAGCTTCGGTTTAGAAAGCATACAAGAGCAACAATTATTATCCAGGTAAGATGGAAATACCATTCTTTGTCTTTTGTCTTTATGCGTTATATTTTCTCGTTTGCATCTCCCTTTTTTTTTTTTTTTTTTTGGGTTTGTGAGTAATGTTTGGAAACTTATTAGCAAAGCAAGTGTTGATCTGTTAAAGCTGAGAAGCCAAGTTTTGTACTTGAGGTCTGGGGTAATGGTATTGAATTCGTTGCTCTTTGTGCCTAGGCTATGATCAGATCCTAAGTGAAACCAAATTGTGTGGTTGCATGGCATATAAAAATTCATTGTAGTTTCCTTCTCATCAGAACTTTGATTTTTTAGTTTATTGTTTCTTAACTCATGTTCTTAGATCTAAAAAATTTTAAACTGACAAATGGTTCCTGTGAGAGATACTGCTAATCAGGGTTATAGAGGATAAACTAAAAGCATAAGCAGAATAATGAATCAGAAGACTGGGCTTCCTATCCTATATATATACATACATACATACAAATCTAGAGGATCTCTCTAAACTAGCTATGCGATGGTTTTTTATGTTTTTTATTTGGTATTGATAATAATAGTCTCTTTTATGTAAACTTAGTTTAGGGATTGGAATTATGAAGACAACTCATTTTTCTTCATAAATCTGAACTCGGATGGGTCTTCGGTTAAATTGTTTCCTGGGCTGTACCTTTTCCACTTTGATTCTTTTGTGGTGATATACTGTCAGGGCTATAGAATTTTTGGTTTTTGAAGTTCCTGTTGGCCTGTTGTTAAATTTTGTATCCTTTTTTTGTATTAATGATATTATACACACACACACACACACACACACACACACACACATATATTAAAAAAAAGTGAATTATCAAAGTACATTTTTTCTTAAGCTAGTTGCTTATAATGTACTAGGTGGATGTTCATTCTATCTGTAACAGCATGTACTACTTGAGAGTTTAACAACCATTCAGCATGTACTACTTTAGAGTTAACAACCTTTTACATGGTTTTTTCCCTCTGATTGGGGTTTATTTGTGATCATACAGAGTCATTGCCGACAATACTTAGCTTGCTGTCATTATTTAAAGATGAAGAAAGCAGCAATTGCTGTACAATGTGCCCAGAGAGCGAAAATTGCACGCAGAGAGTTAAGGAAGCTTAAAATGGTGATATCCTCATTCATTTTTTGATCAATATTCTCCATTTCTTGGTTAAGTTTTAAGCTTACAATTTTGTTTATAAGCATGCTTATGCTTATTTTGTTTGATAATTATAAGTTTCTTCTGTTTCTTTGAGAAAACATATTTGCACATATTTAATTTACTAAATGACTATTTATGTTGATTATCAGGAGATCCAGACCAAAAGCTTACATCATTAGGTGGTGACATAGACTGCTTTTAGCTTCCGTAAGAAAAAATAAAATCTTTTTGTGTAGGTCCTTTAGAAGACAAAACTAAATGGGTGTTGCACATGTAATAACTAGGTTTTGAAGTTTCTGTTAGTTCTCCCTACCATTTACAAAACTGAAATAAATGGTGCTACACTGTTTTGGAAAAACAGATAAGTTAGCATAGGTTAGAAATGGAAATTTTATCCTCAGTGGCTGGGTCTAGTGTAATATATAATAGCAGAAATATATTAAATGATGAATTTTACTAGTACAACTGTACTTACAATAACTCCCAACTTTTCTTCAATTTTGGTAAGTCTCTATCTTTAGTTGTTGATGATTTTTATTTTGGAATATCTGAATATTTGTAAGGGCGAAATGCTTTTTTGGCTGGATCTGAAATATACCTGCTTCAGGATGAAAGTAACTTTGTCAAGTTTTTAAATCATTAATTTCACCTTTCCTCCCTTTTGATTTTATAGAGAATGTAGCTATAGAATATTATCTATTGCCGTATATATTTTATGTCTCTCTTTCTTGTTGCCAATTATGAAATTACTTCCTCAGCTGTCCAAATTGGTTATTCATGTTCCTTGTGCTCATATTTCTTGAAGTGATTATATGCATGAATATTTTCTGGTCCTTGTATGCCTGTAGGCTGCTAAGGAAACTGGTGCTCTCCAAGCTGCCAAAAGTAAACTGGAAAAGGAAGTTGAAGAACTTACATGGCGTTTGCAGCTAGAGAAACGAATGAAGGTAGAATACTTTTTCTGATAAGTTTTTATGGATAGATGAATGCGCATCACAATATTTTAATATAGTTGCTGTTAGATTATAACAACAGTGTGTTCATGGGTTCTTGATACATAGGTTTTGATTTTTGAATGGTTAAGAAGGGATTCATTTTAAATTATATTTAAGCGTCACTTTATTACGGCCAATCAGTTGCATACTACCGTTAAAGTGATTCTTTTAGACTTTTCTTTGGTCTCCTAAGGGAAAAAGTGCGAGAAGATAATGACATAACAAGAAGCAGATGGAGTATATATATGAGATTTTTATGCTTAATGATTTTACAGAGCAGCAGCCCTCTGGTTTAGAATAAAAGATAATGCTTATATTATTTCATATTGCTCACTTATAATTTGATTAACTTGATGCAGGCTGATCTTGAGGAAGCCAAAACACAGGAAAATGCAAAATTGCAGTCTGCTTTACAACAGATGCAACAACAGTTCCAAGAAACGAAGTCACTGCTTATCAAGGAGCAAGAGGCTGCTAAGAAAGCAGCTGAACAAGTTCCAGTTGTTCATGAAGTCCCTGTTATTGATAATGAAATGATGAATAAACTTACTGAAGAAAATGAACAACTCAAGGTAAGTTCACACATATTTGCTTCTGAATGAGATTTTGGGTTTTGCTTATATGTGTTAATGCATACTTCTGGATGTGATAACTTTTATGTTATTCTTCTTATTTTTTTATCTTTGCTTATTGATACTCTGCCTGCTGTGTGACACATTGTAGGCTCTGGTAAGTTCGCTGGAAAAGAAAATTGAAGAAACAGAGAAGAAATTTGAAGAAACAAATAAACTTTGTGAAGAGCGGCTGAAGCAGGCTTTGGATGCAGAGTCAAAGATAATTGAATTAAAGACTACAATGCAGAGGTCAATACAATAAGTTGTCTACTTTTGCAAAACTGTGCCAAATTGCATCTCTGATCCAATTGCTTTTTTCCTTGATTAACCTGGGTTTGTTAATTTGTTTAAAATATTGCCTACATCTGTTTTCAGGCTTGAAGAAAAACTTTCTGACATGGAAACTGAGGACCAAATTCTGCGGCATCAATCATTGTTGAATTCATCCTCTAGAAAAATCTCAAAACAATTATCAAGTGCAACTCAGGTAAGCTTGTTGTGAAACATTATTTCTTATGTCTAGTTTTTGCTTCTACATTGCATATTTGGGGAATTTGCTGATCCTTTGTTCTGCATTTTTGCAGCCTCTGGAAAACGGTCATCATGTAAGTGATGAAATTAAAGTTGATGCATTTTAGTTTTATGGTGTGTTATTTTCATATTTCATATCTATAATTCTGAGAGCATACTCTTACAGGAACCACAAAGTGCCACCCCGGTTAAAAAGCTTGGTACATTTGATAGTAGATTAAGGAGATCCCAGATTGAACGGCAGAATGTATGTGCTTTAGATAGAAAGCAAGATTATAGTCTTAATCTTTGAGTTAATTTTCTTTTATTTTCAGTTGAAAGTCAATTGGATTTATTCTCTAATTTTGGAGTCTTCCATGGTGCAGGAATCTGTGGATGCTCTAATCAAATGTGTGTCACAAGATCTTGGGTTCAGTAATGATAAACCAGTTGCAGCATTTACCATATATAAATGTCTTCTCCACTGGAGATCATTTGAGGCAGACAAAACTAGTGTATTTGATCGTCTCATTCAGATGATTGGTTCTGCAATAGAGGTGATTGGAAAAACATTACACAATTATTCTGTGCTCATTTTTATTCCTTTTTCCAGTGCCGATTTAAATTTCTGTTTATGGAAAAACTGTGGGGAGTCACTTGCTAAAGGAAGCTTTTACCTCATCATCTATGGTTCTGATCATAAGATCCAAAAATGGAAATTCCATTTTAGTTTATTATGAATAGAAAGCTGGATTGCATTTCCCATCACATATTTTTTCTCTTCCACTTTTTTCTATCTGTTGATTGTTGTAGAATTACTGTTTTTGAAAATCTGATGGGTTTGTTTGACTATCTTTCCCCAAATAGAAGGAACTTATATCTGGTTTTTTAAGCATGGTTAAAGTATGTGTGCACAGATTAAGGAGGTTATGTGAATTTTCACCAACTACCTGCTCACCATGAACTCAGCATGCTCACATCTACTGCCAATGGAAAAAGGTAAAAGGATAAAGAAAAGCAAAGAAAAGGAGGATGAGTAGTAAAGTGGAGTAAAAAGGAACCGTTTGGTGTCCAGTGAATTGAAATCTAACATTGTTAGCCATTTTTGGGTTATTTAGTAAAATTAAATTGAAGGCATTTTGGAGATGCTTGTGAGGAAGTGGCCTTCCTTTTTTGGATAATATCTGTTTTTTAGCAGTTCTGTGAACTTCAATTACAAGAAAACTTTTACTTTGATCTTTTTATTAATGCAAATTGCATGATGGTGTACTGGTTTTTGAGTACTTTATCTGTGTTAAAACTTAACTATGTATTGTCGGTTTTTTGGTGCTGGACTGGTGTGGTTCACCTTCATCATAGACCAGCTTGATCCCTTTAATAAAGTTAATTTTTTTTTTTTTTCGTATAGAAATAACAAATAAAAAAAGAGAAATCAACATGCTTGTTCTATGTAATGTGTTGCAGAAGCCTGACAGCAACAATCATATGGCTTATTGGCTATCCAATACGTCTATTTTATTGTCTTTGCTTCAAAGGAGTTTAAAGGCCAGCGGTCCAAATTCACAGCGGAAGCCTCCCACACCAACTTCATTTTTTGGACGGATGACCCAAGTAATCATATGTTTCTTGGATTACAGTTTGAACTATTTTTTTTGAATATGATCATATAATTAAGAACTGTATGTAGAACACTTATTTATTTTTCAACATCTGTCATATTTGGTAGGGATTCCGCTCATCCCCTTCTTCTGCCAACCTTCCAGTTGGAGATATCGTGCGCCAGGTTGAGGCCAAATATCCAGCTTTGCTTTTTAAGCAGCAGCTCACAGCATATGTGGAAACGATTTACGGGATCATTCGAGACAACTTGAAAAATGATCTGTCACCACATCTTTCTTCTTGTATCCAGGTAAGAGAACTGTTAGTTTTCCGTTGTTCTTTCCTCAACAAATCACTTTTCCTTGCTGATTTCTTTTTGTATCCTGGTGACTTGACTCCTAGTTTTCTGCTGCTTTTTTCCAGTGTCTTATTTAACTCTGCATTTCTTTTATGTGCTATATTTGATGAGTCTAATTTAGCATCTTGAGGACACATTTTTTCCCACATAATTTGTGATGCATTTTTGTTAAAGTTTCAAAAAGAGAAAAATGAAGTGATTTTACCTGTGATCAATTGAAATTTAATATACTAATTTTGACATTGCATCTGCAAACTTCATTATGATCAGTTCTGAATTTGAGTTTTTTATTTTGTTACATGACCAATTGATGTTGGCAAAATTGGTGTTGTACCAACTATTTGGCATAGTCTTGCCTGATCTTGTTTGCATTTTTCTAAATGTGCAAAAATACTATGTTGGAAGAAAATATGATAATGGTGAGAGTATTAAGTGGCAAGATCTCATACTTGATTTAAATGCTTTGCTGGTTATTTTACTCGAGATCGGTTACTTATATCCTAGAAGTGCAATTTTTCTAACTCCAATAAGGTGTTATCCCATTGATTTAGGCACCAAGGATGTCAAAGGGAACTTCCATAAGATCATCTGTGCAGTCATTTAGCAATGGTCCTGCATCTAGTCCCTGGAGCAGCATTATTGAGAGCCTTAATGGGCTGCTCGCTACACTGAAAGAAAATTTTGTATGAGATTTTAGTTTTTCTATATAAAGTTATTCATATCTTTTCATGTGTATGAGACTTATGGTTACAATTGTCTCAGGTGCCTCAAGTTCTTGTGCAAAAGATCTTTACTCAAGTTTTCTCATATATTGATGTACAGCTCTTTAATAGGTAACTCATTGCCTAATCTTTTCTCAACTGTTTTTCCTTGAATATGATGGACAACTTGTTCATCATTTTTATTAACTTTTTTCAATTATTACAATTGATCTTCTTAATTTTTTATCATTGAAAAGAAAAATTCTTGAAGTGATCTTCCTCCATATTAACTTTTAATTCAATGTTTGCATCGCTAGTACAGCCTTCTGCTTCGTCGAGAGTGCTGCTCATTCAGCAATGGAGAATATGTAAAATCTGGTTTAGCTGAACTAGAACTGTGGTGTGGGAAAGAAAAAGTTGAGGTACTGTTTTACCTTTTTGACAAGTACCAGTACATTTCTAAATTTTCTCACCATTTGAACAATCCTCCCTGACTGGAGTTTCTTCTTTGGCAATCTTGATTTTATGTCATAACAGTCTTAATTTTATACCATTCATCAGTTGCTTGTCTGAAAATTCCTCTTGTTGCAGTATGCAGGTTCATCCTGGGATGAACTCAAACACACTAGACAAGCGGTTGGATTCTTGGTATGTTTCTTTAATTTAATGTTCGAGAAAATATAAATTGCTCAGTACCTGCTAATGATATCTGGATATTATGATGTTAACTCTTTTTGAATGTTTGGCTTCTTTATTTATTTATTTTAATGCCTGGTAATGTACGAACTTGGTTGACTGTCTTTATGAATTAAGCATTATTATGTCCCTCTGTCAATTGTCAAGATTGCTACCGTGACTCCATAAAACTTTCATTTGTATCTGAAATTTCCAACCTAGGTAGCAGGATAAAGTGGCACCATGCTTTATCCCATCACAAAAGGGGGTTCACCAAGGCCAGAATAATATAGCAAAGATTTGTGGTGTTGATAGACTTTAGAGTGCATTAGCTTTGAAAAATGCTGTCAGTCTCAAGACATCTGTCCATCAGCTCTTTGGATTGAAAAATCATTGTAGGAATAGATTTACAGTCTCAACACACCCACTCTTCAGTTGTAAGTATTTAGAAATATTGAGGAATAGATGCCTAGGGCCAGCCTGTAAATCAATGAATGAATTTGATCTACGTATACAAGTTTTCTTACTGAGTTAGTTAGGAGGTATTGTAGAAATTTCTGGATTGGATGATGAAGATATGGTTGATTTTCTTTCTCTGGTGAAGGTACTGTTTTCTTGTGGGATAGTGGTCACAGGTACCCTTATATAGGAGTTTCAGAAGTAATAAAGGCCTGTAAGTTCTAGTCAAGAATTTCTGATTTTCAAAACTAGATAGATCGAGTTAAGATGGAAGATAAAAGCTAGTGTCAAAGATTACATGACAAGTTTTCTCATGTTATATAAAGGTAGGGCCGTGGCTCTTAGCTTTGGGATCCCTCCTTATTAGTTACTACGGAATAGAACATTGTAATTGAGTATTAGATCCACCAAATAGAACTTATATATAACTTTTGTAAAGTAGCATTGTAACTAAAGCTGTTTGATCGCTTTGATTATGCTTTAAGTGAAAATGTCCACTGAACTGCTCATACCTATGAGAGAGTTCTAAAATGAACTGTGTGTTGGTCAGTCAATCAGTGCTTAGTAGTGAAGTAATAATGAAGCTTTCATGGGGCATGTATGGGGAAATCTTGAAATCGAGGTTTTATGGTCTTATTGTCTTTTATGGCTTGACAGGAAATCCTGCCTCTGGGTCAGAGAACTGTCTTTCAAGATTTATATGGCTTGCTCATCTTTTTATTGTTTTGTGGTTGAATAATTTTAAGAGTTTCTCTGATTTATCTGTATTCCATGTATATGACCTACATTGCTTGACTAATACGTCTGCTGATTCAACTGGGGTTTTTCATTTCTGAAATTTGGTTAGTCATACTGTTTAGAAAACGAAGAGCATCTGGTAGGCACTGTTTGGTGAGGTTTCAGAATTATTTTCGAAAATTCGCTTTGTCTAAAGGAATAATTGAATCTTGCAGTTCTAAGAATATGTCTAGTAGTGGACTTTAAATATGGTTTTACCTAAAAAATAGAAAGATTACACATCTAGTATCTCTATGTTGAAGAAGTAGAAGAATAATTTGTTTTCTAGATCCTCTTTCTCAAATGTTTGACTTCGACATTAGCTTTTTGAGTGTGAGTTTTGTGTTTTTGACATTAGTACTCATGGCATTTTCTTTTGTCTGTTTCTGAAAATTTTATTTTAGTGTCAAATGAGTATTTTAGTTTTGGTTGTTTTAATACGCATGTTGTAAAGATGTTTTTTGTGGCATTTTTGGAGATATGCTATTTATGAAGATCATGCAGTGACTGCGGTTTACTTTTCCTCAAATGGCAATGATCTTAATCTTGACTGTTACCTTTTTTTTTTTTTACTATCATTTAAAGTGTCCAAGGGATTTTTTTATTTATTTTTAAATTCTTTTTCAGGTTATACACCAGAAGACTAGAATATCCTATGATGATATTACAAATGACCTATGTCCCGTAAGTCTCTCTTTTAAGCACAGTTCAAGTGTAAAATATGATGCTTTTTTTGGGACTATTGTCAACGTTTTGTCGGTTTTTTTTTTTTTTTCNCCCAAATGGCAATGATCTTAATCTTGACTGTTACCTTTTTTTTTTTTTACTATCATTTAAAGTGTCCAAGGGATTTTTTTATTTATTTTTAAATTCTTTTTCAGGTTATACACCAGAAGACTAGAATATCCTATGATGATATTACAAATGACCTGTGTCCCGTAAGTCTCTCTTTTAAGCACAATTCAAGTGTAAAATATGATGCTTTTTTTGGGACTATTGTCAACGTTTTGTTGGTTTTTTTTTTTTTTCCCCTCCTAAGTAATATTTTTGGTTAACGAGTAACATTATTTCCCATTTAACATGATAAATTTGGATTTATATGTTTGAAAATACTTAAGATTCTTTTGACAAATGTTGTTTGTTTCTTCAGGTCTTGAGTGTTCAGCAGCTTTACAGAATATGTACGCTGTACTGGGACGATGACTACAACACTCAAAGTGTATCCCCTGATGTAAGTCAAATAAATTAATTAAGACTTATCTTTCCAAATTCCTTATTTATTTCTTGTTAATTGGTGCTTCACCTTTTCTTTGGACAGGTGATATCTAGCATGAAAATTCTTATGACAGAAGGCTCCAGCGATGATGATAGCAAATCCTTCTTGTTGGATGACGATTCCAGGTAAGTGAAGAACAAAAGGGAAAAGTTTTGGTCCTTTTGAAACGATAAGGCGTGTTTCGAGCTTTTACTCACTGTACTTTTTATGCAGCATTCCTTTCTCAGTTGATGATATTTCATTAACCCTCCCAGAGAAGGATTTCTCAAATGTGAAGCCTGCTGCAGAACTTATTGAGAATCCAGCCTTCCAATTTTTACAGGATTAAGGCCTTGGTTAATGCATTTTTCTCTCCCTGATGGAGCATACCTTAGCAAGTTTAAAGTAGAAATCTCAGTGTCGGTCCAGCGAATGCCACAGTGTAAATCCACCGCCATTTACCTTATCCCCTTGTAGGTATTTTTGTCGTCATCACCTATTGCCCAGGATGTAGTTTTTTTTTTTTTTTTCTAAATTAAAGTTGTATAATTTAATTAGGCCAGTTGCTTTAGTCAAAGGGGGAAGGATGGTTTCTGAATCAGAGTGGCTTCTTGGTTTTTTGATTTATAAATTGGTCAGTCGAGTGGAGGCTAGTCTTCTTTGTAGGGGAATTATAGGAGGGAAAGTTGTAGTATTGTCCCAGCCTCAAAAATTCATATTGTACAGAATACATCAAGATAATATAATATTAGTTGAAAATTTGGTTTCCCATTCCTTTATCTTACTAAATTGAAGTAATGTGGATTGATTCTTTAGGACAATGTATTTATTGTAATGTTCTATGATAATTAAATTAGGTCAAAAGGTAGCTATGGGTATGGCTCCTTGAAAATGTCTACAATTTATTGGTGTTCTCTTCTAATTTTGGAAGAAAGTTGACATTAAATCCATGCGTTAAATTAATGAAACATATTATATATCCATTTTAACAAAGTAGATTTTAAAACAATTATCGTATATCACATAATTTTATTTTATTGGGTTTGATAACAGTTGAAGTTTGATCGGAATTAAGCAAAGCTTTGAATATAATCTAATTAAAGTGAGCGGCTATATATACCTCAACTTATGTTTGTGAAACTATAAAAATTGTCAACGTAAAACTCAATATATACATAATTGTTAAATGAACATAACTTTAAATATGTCTAAGGAGTTCATCAAATTCTTTATAGTTTATATATAGCTAGCTTTTGTTTCATGTTTTGCAGAATTAATGCACATATTATATTGTGGCGATTTCTTGCACCAATGAGAAGTATGCAATCCTTTGGGGGAGTTCGTGCAAGGGTCTATTAGAGATCGAAAAATATGATACTGAACCAATGAGTAATAATAACGATAATGTAAGTAAATAAATAAAAAAAGTAGATAAAATGAGTTTTTAAAGTGGTTCGGATGCAAGGTGTAAATCTTACGTCCACTGTTATGTTATTGACACTGTTTTAAAACCTAAATCGGTCTGGTCGGGACCTGGTAGCCTCTCCAGTCCGGTCCAGGTTCTAGAGGGGTTTTCGCTTTATTTCAAACTTAATAGACTACTTTGTAATTTTCTAGGGGTGTTTTTAAAATATTTCAAAACTTTAGGGACTAATTCGTAATTTTTGGTTATTTTAAAATAAATTAAAATTTTAGGCACTGACTTGCAATCTTAGAGGTGTTTTTGTAATATACAAAAAAATTAAGGGACTAATTTCAATTTTTTTAAAATATTTTTGTTGTTGACATCATCAACCCAACCGGTTGATCCAACCGGTTGGACTAGTCGACCCGTGACCTGGTCACCTTGCAGGGTCTCACAATGGGTCAAGTTTTAAAACAATAGTTATTGATGTGTTTACAAAAGCTATTTGCTTTCAAGTGAGACAACTGTTTTTAGCTATTGAGAGAAATGAAATTCTGAGCTCCCTGATTTGGGGTGGGAGACCTCAATTTATACTGTTGCATGGGTGGTCTTGCTCATGAAGCAACCCTCTCATCGCATGACATGTGGCCTGACAATCCACTCTTATTAGAGACTTATTAATGAAGTAGTCCTCTTATAAAGTGACACATGACCTAGATGACAATTCAACTCCGAATCTTACTGTTGAAGCAACTTATGATAGCCTTACAGATGAAATAATCACTTCTAGGTATGACACACGATTTGGACAAATGCATAGTCACAAGACGTACACGTGGTGAGAGTTCATGTTCCAGTTGCTTAGTCATAGACTCATAGGACACATGTCGAAAATTCATTCCCTATGAATTTATGGTATAACATATTCAAACCAGGAAAATGATAATATCTATTCGATTACAAGATGGAAATTCAAAGTCTATATACTATCAAGAGTTTTTATTTGATTTCTGGGGTAGGGTTCCATTTTGAACTGACATTTTTCTCTGGTGAAACAAAAATTAAATGATAGGATTGCATTTACTTCTTCAGAGTGAAGTTCATAATTAGATGTCAGTTTACTAAAATGAGGCGGCAACTCGACCGTCCGCGGCAGCACAAATATTTTCAAGATTGCACCAAGTTATAAAACTGTATGTGTGGAATCTTCGGCCATACTTACTTGTCAGAGCTGGTCACTTGGTCAGGTTTTTATGTGCACATAATAAAGACTTGGTTCCAATGTTCCTAGCTACCTGCCATACTTCTTTATCTAGTAGCAATTTCAATCTGGAGAGTTCAATTCAACAATGCCAAATATGCCATTAAATTGCACATGTAATTAACAGTAACAGGTCGTCGTCATTCCATGATAGTGGCATAGAAATTTCTGATATCTGATTGGAGTGTCAAAAGTGAAATATGGGATATGGGTATTGTTGGTGAAGATGGAGATAATGTATAATTTATTTAGTTGAGAAGAGAGGCACATGGTGGTAGAAATAGAGCCGAGTTTTCATTAAAAGGGGGTGTTGACCAATACTTCATGTGATCACATGTATTGCCATGTTTGATTGAATATATATTCCATTCAGTTATTACAGTTGAGGAGTTAGTTGCAGTTCTTCTTCTTATATTATATGTCATATGGGCATAACAAGAATGTGTCTACTTTTTCTGGGTTTAATAAATTAAATTAAATTTAAATGCACGCAAGAGTGATAGAATCTTGATTGGATTGGGTAAACAAAATACTAGTGGCTAGTTTGAATTTGATGGTGGAATGAACAAAGACCTATTCATTGAATCCATTTAATTCTTGGTAGATGCAACTCTTTGAGATCTCTGTTTATACATTAATTTATCTATTTATTTTAAGCTATGATTTATCTGACAGTTTGGTTAGAAAATTAGATCTTGGAGTCTTTAGATTAAATTTCGTGCACATTTTGGCTTGGTTAAAATGTTTATTTTCATAAGATTTTGGACATTTTTAGATTATCTAAATTCGAACAAAAACATAAATCTAATGCATGAGCTTACTTGGTCATCGTAAGGGCGTCTTCGGACAAGACTTGGGTTCCAAATAGGCCGATCCATGGGCCATGTTTAGCTCGAAATTAAAAGAATTATCAAACCTATTTGTGAAACCCCCTATATTCAGTGAGATTTTGTATTCATTTTTACATATCTTGATGTGAATCTTATTGTATTTTTACATAAATCCAATATCAAACAATTTCATATCTTGTGCTTTTAGGCTTAGAGTTAGGGTTCTTTTTTGAGTTCTTCAAATTTTAGCAATCTTATGAATATGTATAATTGTTTACAACATTTTCTATTATTCTTTTTTCTTTCCTTTTGTATTAATTGTCAATAGCAACACTTAAATTTTTTGGTCCAAACTTGTAATTGATATTCATAAATAGGTGCCGACCTAAGACTTATAATTAAAATTTATAAATAAGATTATCTTAATGTGTGTTCTAAAGTCACATGTTAAAGATATTATAAATACAAAATTTGCATTATATTGATATCATTATGTTATAAATAGAAAGAATATCATCAAAATTTTGTTGTGTAGTTCTCTTTCATGTGCCTACGTACAATATTTCATAAAATATATAGAAAATCATTCAATGTTTTGTCTTGTAGTGCTCTTACATGTGCCCTAACCATAAGGTTACATCTTGATATTTTTCATATAAATATATAAAATAATTAAACTATGAGTAATTCTCTAATCAAGATATCGGAATACTGATTTTGTTAAGATCATGTTTAAACACCGTTGAATTTATCATCATTAAAACATGTTTGGGATGAATTTATCAGTTGAAAGAATAAATTTACTAAAATTATAGGCAATCGTAAATCAATGTCTGAAAATTAAGAAAGGTTTAGGTTGAGTTATGTGCAATTGCGGCCATGGAATTTGGATGAATTAGTAGATATATTGGCTTCATTCATTCAAACTTTGAAACTGACCTCATTAATAGAATCTTGTCATGGGGAACTCTGTTTGATATGAAGAATGAAGATCATGATATTCCTAATTATAAAATTAAATCGCTACACCCGCTTCAATGATTTTATAGATCATGCTTTTGCCTTAAATATTGTATTAATTTCTTAATTGATAATGCCTTTAGTGAGATTCTATTTCATAATTAAAAATCATCATTCAAACCAAACTCCTAAAAAGTTGAAAAAGAAAACAAAATATACAAATATTTCATTCAAAAAGACAAATGATAGTCTACATATTCTGGTTTTAAGTTAACAAAGTAATACTAGTAATAGAAATGCCTAATGATTGATCGGTTGGAAAGAGCTTGGTCAAGCTTGTTGATTAGGGCACATGTAGAGACTAATAAATAAATCCACCCATTGTTATTTACATGAATTTCATCTGAAAAACCACTACTTTTACAAGGGAAATCAACAATAATACTGAAAATTACAGCATATGGTGTTGAGGACTCATAAAATTTATACTTCTAACATTCTAATTCTTATAAGAAATTTTCAAAGGTGGGACTTAGAAACTTGAGTAAATCCATTTGCACAAAGCGATAAAAACATATTTTGGAGAATAATAATTGATGTAAAAGGGGATTATTGATGGCCTAATTGTGTGTCTGTGTGTGTGTTTTTTTTTTCTGTTAGGTTTAGGGATAATAATCCATTTGCTTAGATACATGTTCTATAATTAATGAGATCATTGGTGTTTTTCTGATTAGTCAAATGAGAAATCAAATAGTCAAATGGAGATTAGAAAGGAGGTTTGATGATATGGAAATTATTGTGTTAGCGCAAATGATGGCCATGGAAGCTTGTGGGAAGCCAATATTTATTCCTTTCCTTCAACTTCTCATGTTTTCATGTGACTCTCTCTCTCTCTCTTTTTCTCTCTCTCTTATTTCAATAAGAAAAGAAAAACATCTGAAATCTTCGCATTCACAAAGCTACTACCCAAATGAAGCGGCTCTCAGTTTTCACATATTATAATCTAAATTTTATAGTACATATTTCTGTTGTTTAATCGATTATGTAATCAACTAAAAACTTTTGCTTATTCATATAAGAACATGTATGAAAGGAAACTACCCAATCCTATAAAAGGTTGACACATGAATATAGATATATAATTGAAAAGCAGAAGAAAAGATAAAGATTTAATTAAAGATTGATTCCGAAATTAAACTGAAAATGGTAGACCTAATGGGGAAATCTTATGGGTTCCTCTTCAAATGATTAATAGAGCCTATCATTGTTTTTGTCTTTTTGATATTCATTAATGA